CCCAGTCAAGAAGCATAAACAGACAATATCAAATGAAAAAATGCTTGAGACTGATACATTAAAGAATGGAGGTGGTAGCGTAGCCCAGTGGTCCCAAACACTTTCACAAGGACCCCACAATAGACCACAGTCCGCCAATCAGAGGATTTTAAGGAATCTGAATGTTTTTATTTGTTTGAAGATAATTAAGTCTTCAATCAGTGGTTAAACTAGGATCACTATAAATTACTATGGATCAAAACAGCCAACCCCAAGTCCTCCAACTCTCAAAACGTGACCATTAGCTTCTAACATGTGGTGGACTATGGAATGATTTGGGAACCGATCACTGTGTCAGCATGTAGGGACCTCTGCTGGTCACTATTTAACAAGGAGCACACGGACAATTTGCTTCAATTACACTCAATGATCATTCTATTCTTTGCTTTTATTTTAGTATTTAAATTTCCCCCACATCTGCCTTCCGTCTTCAAAGAGGAATTATCAATTTAACTTCATTAGGGATGACTACTATTGACTCTTGATTCATGACTTAAACTAGCTCTATATTTGTTAATGATTCTCAAATTCCGCTCCAAATGTTCCATCATAATATAATTCCAGGAAACAGACGGCTCATCAGGTGACTTATGGAAGAAATCACTCCAACCAACCTTTTTCACATGACCTCATAACATGCAGGATTATAGATGTTAGATGTATGACAAAAAGATAGCATGTGTCACTCAAACATCAACTAAAAGTGAACAGCTTAGTAATCCCCTTCAGAGTAAACACACAGAGTCTGAGTTGTGTCAAACGTCTTTATTATTAACGCCCTTCAGTCTGTCCCTGTCTACTTGTCCTCTGGCTTGTTGAAGCAGTAGGTGAGGCAGCACTTTCCGCAGTAGTGACGGTCGAAGTGGCTTGCCATGAAGACACCAGCACCGCACTCATCAGCAGGACACTCACGCCTCAGCCGGTGGATTTTACCGTTCTCGTCAACCTGGAGACAGAAAACAATTCAGACTGCTGCAGCAGAGCTGGACGCACACGAATACTTAGAATAAAGCTAGAACATCATGTTTCAGACTGATGAACCTTAAGATCTGACAAAGTGCCTTTGAATTTCTTCCTACTATAGAATACATCATTTCTGCCATTAACAATATCTAAAAATATAAAAGTTGTTGATTTGAGCCAAATGGTCAATTCTGAACTAATTAAGTAAACTGATAAAACATATATAGATATTTACATACAAATAGAGATTACTCTGTTAACAGCTGACTGTGTAGCTCCTTCAGATTTAGAAACTAGACAGTAAGGAGGAGTTGATACTGAATGACATTAAGATTTAGGATGAGTGTTTATACCTTGTAGTATTTGAGCACAGCGAGCTTGACCTTCTTCCTCTTGTGCTTGTTCTTCTTGGGGGTGGTGTAAGACTTCTTCTTCCTTTTCTTAGCACCACCACGCAGCCTCAGCACCAAGTGCAGGGTGGACTCCTGAGGAGGAGAAATGAAACATTTTAACAGAAAGCTACCAGGAGCTTCATGGTAGGGGTCCACAGGATCAGCCTGTATCCAAGTGTGCTTCAAGAGACTGGACGTCACATTGGCTGCTCGTCATTTGCATACCATTGAAGTCCAGGCCACATCTGGAAACTCCCAATAATCTTTTAAACTAACTGCTACTGATCTAAAATTCAGCAGACAGATTCTGGAACTGCATGGCATATTTTTCACCCAACATGTTTTCAGAAACGTTTTTCGGTACTTGACTTTTTAATGCAACTGTAGTTCTACTCATTCACTACATTTATCTTACAGCAGTAGTTAACCGTTCCCACAATGTGTCACAAATATAATGTATCGTTTTGTAAGGAACAGCATACAAAGTAGCTAAAATTATGATCAATGCAAATGTTGGCCCAAAAAATTAACTAAAACATTAACAATGCATTTCTAAGACCAGTCCAAATCACATTGAAGACATTTTAAGGCCTAAAAAATGTGATTGATTTGAAACTTTCAGACCATGCTAACACCCTGTTAAGAATATTATTACAGTAGAGTATAGTACCTTTACTTGAAGAAATACCGGCTCCACCACTGGCAGCTGGACATTAAACTCAGATTTGATAGAAGCAACTTCTAAACTCTGACAACTAGGTTATCCACTGACTAAACCCTAAACTAAACTCAGACAGTCTGTAGTCTGAGATGTTCTTAGTAGGTCTGCAGTTTCCTCCCTCAGCTCACCTTCTGGATGTTGTAGTCGGACAGCGTGCGTCCATCCTCCAGCTGCTTTCCAGCGAAGATCAACCTCTGCTGATCAGGAGGAATACCTGCAGACAACAAGACTACACATCAGCAACCACACTGGAACAGGAAGGTCAACAAACCTGACACTTTACCAACCATTCAAACTTAGAAATCCACTGCAGCTACAGAAAATTTAACCATGAATAGACTTATCCACATGTTTCAGTGGGTGGGACGACACCAACTTAATACATATTTATTCAGGTTTTATGGTTTCATGTAAATCTGCAATCCCAGGAAATCAAACTTAAATCTGCTAACTGCTTGATACTAATAAAGATTATTGAGACTAAGTCAAATAGTTACGTTTTAAATATAAACCATTTTTGAACTACAGCCTGTCTCTGGTGAAAAGGTGATCCACTATTTTATACTTTTACCCTCAAAACTCATTAACATTTCTGGTTGTCCAGCAACATCAAATACTGACTTTAACAGTTTCTGCTTATTTAGAGTTGTTTCTCGTTCAAGTTTCTAGATCACAGATCAACTTATCGGGCTGAATATGGGTTCATGATTTCATTTTATTTTTATCAGCAAAATGTAGAGGAGAAATTGAGGAAACTAGATATTAAGTTTCCTCTGCAGAAACAAAATACTACATTTAGTTATTTCTCACTTCATAAAGATTGTCAGTCATGTTATGAATAGCTGATCACATTTAATGTTGCTGATGAAGACAAAACATGATTCTTTATCAACCAATAACATGATAATCCTTCATTTAGTATTGAAATGAAACTACTATTCCCCACAGCTCAAACAAATTGCTTAAAATGTCTCAATTTTTCCCAAACAAATATAAAACACAATAAATCCTCTTGTTTGGTTATGGAACCAATATTTTTTAGGCATTTGTGCTTAAAAAACTACAAGATTTTCTGATTCATTCACTGTCCACCAATCCTTTGCTGTATCTCTACAGGAAAAAAACGTCACATCTAAGACACCGGTCTACAAAAAGCCACAAAACAAATCACACTTCTACTCACCCTCTTTGTCTTGGATTTTGGCCTTGACATTTTCAATAGTATCTGAAGGCTCAACCTGGAAAAAGCATCAAGTGGAGAAAAGACAGGTCAGCCGGGACACGCTCTTCCGGTCAGAGCTACAGTCACATGTTGGGTATAAATATATAAATATATATCCACAGTATTCATAACATCAGGTCATTTTATTTCTAATTAGAGTTCATGGGCCCTTTGTGGAGGAGACATGGTCGGGTTGAGCCCGTCGCTGCCGGCCACACGTGTTTATGCTGCTTTCGGTAACTGCTAGCAGCTAATAGTTAGCTTAGCCCCTTCAGTTACAAACGTACAGTATATTGCGCCCACTTTGCTTAAGTTTAAAAACATACAAGCACCACAGAAGTCGACGTATGACGAGTCAATTTATTAAATGTGACATGTTCGGCCCAATAGGACAGTAAAGTAAGTTAAACTCGAGGTAACTGCAGCCACAGAAAGCCGCATCCCTCCATCACAGTCCGGCTCACTAACCTCGAGGGTTATAGTCTTCCCCGTGAGGGTTTTGACGAAAATCTGCATCCTGGCGTTCAACCCACCTACACCAGAAGATACATATTAGACTTTAAACGCAGAGTTTGTGTTCAAACATGCTCTTAAATGTGTTATTTTTGAGAAGAATTGGTTAAAACTCAGAGCACGATCTTACCACAGGTTCACTCCTAATGGCGGATCATGAGAAGAGGGCTTTCGGAGCGAGCGACGGGGTTTTCTGCACGCCTTTGCACGGGTTAGGTAACCGTTACGGTGCCTGATCGAAAATATCAACAGCCGATTTCACATGGCCATTTTGCGGTCGTTTAGTCGTATAATTAGTGTTAGTCAGAAATGTATATTATGCCTAATAATTAATTGTATTTAAAGAAGAAAGCGACTTTCTTTTGAAAACTTAATTTCCCAGCCACACTTTCACGGTAACCATAGCGACGAGGGTGTTTGCAAATGGCCTCCTGTTAGAAGAACATTAAGTTTTTGTTGAGTTCGTTTAAACATGTCTGAGCAACAAGAGCCCAGCAGTTCATCATCAAGAAAAGAAGAAAGACCTTCAACACCCGAGATTTTGACTTGTGAGAGTGATGAACGGTTCTTCCAGTCTCTGTATGAGTTTATTGAACATGAGAAACAGTACCTGCAGTGTCCAGAAGAGGGCCCGGACGAACTCCGGTACATTATCTACCGCTCAGTGTTTAATAAGGTAGACGTAACGTTATATTATTATTGTGAGCTTGTTACTGAATTTACTGTCACGTTCTATAAAGGCACATGAATGTCTAACTCTTTATACATCAATTAGCAACCATTAATGAAGAATACGTTTGATGTGCCAGGAGGTGATAAATCAAGGTGTCCGTTTATAGCTCCACTTTCTATTTAAGGAATAGTTCAATGAATAATTCGTTCATTCTGCTCGCTGAGAGTCAGATGAAAGGTTTGTCACCACTCTCATGTAGGGAAGTATGAAGCTACAGCCAGCAGATGGGTAACTCACTGGAAATGAGGTGAAATAGCAAAACTCTGTCCCAAGTTTAATCTTCAGCACCTCAATATTTGAGTACCGTAGTTACATGTTGTGTGTTATTTGTTTAATAAGCAGAAAATCAGAAGTATAAAAACGACAGCTCTGCATTTTATATGGGGCTATGTGCTGGATAGAGCCAGGAAATATAACTCTGTAAAATGGAGAATGAATGATAGTCGTTTATTTCACAGTAAAGCAACTGTATATACATAAAGTTGTTGTAGTGTAAGGAGAAGAGTTATTGTTGTAGTTAAATGTCCTTTGGTATTTGAGCTCCATGATACAGACAGAGGAAGTTAAATAGAGTTACACCACTTCCTGTCACTCTAAACGCTGCTGACCATCCAAAGTCCAGTCAATGAAAGAAAAGGTGAAAACACAGGCAGCTGGGGACCTATTCTATGTTTTTATTTTAAGGTTTGCTTTTTGGGGATATTTTTCCATACTCCAGTCACCATGCAGTGTTAACTATCAGACTGGTGACATTGTTCAACCCTTCATTCAGTTACGACACAACAGTGACAAATTCTGTTTTTGTCGACTTAACTTTAATAACTCTGGTTTATACGTTTAGGTATAAATTATATTATATATACGTATTATCATCACTATTTTGTTGCTGCTGTATACTGACACAAATGCAACAGATGTACTGCAGAATTATTTCCTATGTATGTATATAAATAACTATATTTTATTTGATTCTATTATATTTTATATTTTTGATATATTTGATATATTTACTGCTATAAGTAATGTTGTTCTATGAGTTTGATAATCTTTTTCTATGTGTGTAGCATGAAGGAAATACAAACCTTCCTTTCATTCTACAGCCTTGTGTTGTATGATGATGAGTACATTCCTTGATATTTGGCAGGTTAAGCAGATACTAGATGACTCTTTAAATCTGAACCAGAGAGCAAAACCGATTCTGTTTCTCTCCTGTTGTTTTTCCTCCTCATCTTGTTTCTCACAGGTGATCGCACGAGCCACAGCCTATAAGAGACTTCTGCTGACCATAAAGGCGGAGTATGATGATGTCATCAGGGCGCTTCAGAAGAGGGGGGATGATGTCAGGATGGCTCAGCAAACTCTGGCGGCCTCGACGTCACACCCAAAATCACTGACAACCTGCCAGAGACGAGCCGGCGAGCTGAGGGAGAGGTGTGTGTGTGAGAACAGTTTGTGCAGTTCTCACTGTTGAAGGCCCTAAAAACATATTTTCTAAATCTGATGAGTGATGAGAAGAATCACACAGTTTTGGTTATTTAAATGTAGATATGTCTGTATTTGTATTTTTGTACAAATACATCTGATCAAACTATACCAACACACCTGTTCTGACTGTTAAATTAGATATTTACTCTGAGAGAGAACAGGTATATATTTTAATTTATTTTATGTTATTTACTGTATGCAGAACGTTTAATGAGATACATTATGTATCTAGCTGTAGTTAACACACATGATGTGATATAACAATCAGATATCTATAACTTTAAACATTAAAGACCTAAAAGAGGTCTGTACAAAAAGTGCTGTACTTTAAAATAAATACAACTCTCATGAACCTTTTGTGTGAGTTCCTGAGATAATGGAAAATGTAGAAAATATAATTTGTTTGAAGGATAAAATGCATCTTTTGACGTGTAAAAAGACTTTAGCAGCCTCTTCATGACTTCTTTCCTCTTTTTTGTCTCTTTGCAGAATCTCAGTAATTCAGAGGGAAACAGTAGAACTTCAAGAGGAGATCAAGAGACAGAAATCATCTAGAGAGCAGAGCACATGGATACCTGGTAAAGCTGATACAGATACAGTAAAGTGTAAGAGGTGTTGTATTTGGGAAAACAAAACAAGTATGAACAGACACAAAATGACATCAGTGTGTACGGGGTAAATGGGGCAAAACAATGACGTAAGCTAGCACTGAGGGTCGGGGACTGTGTGCCAATAAGTCGACCTTTAGTTGCCTCTAACTTTCTCTTTCACTGTTTCATCTCGTCCATGGTTCAACCTCATCTCTCCTGCCAGGTTTGACGGTGGCTGAGTCAGAGGATCCTGAGGCTCTGGACAAACATCTGAAGCATCTTGAAGCCCAGAGAGCGGCTTTACTTGACAGGAAGAGTCACTGCGTCTCTCTGGAGGTCAAAGCTGAGCTGGACACCAAGCTGCAGGCCGCCGAGCGCCACAGAGACCAGCTGAGCATCGAAAACAACCGACGGAAAGTCCTGTAATAGCACAAACACTCAACCATACTGCTCTCTGTCTACACTGACTGCACGGATAGCTAACCATCTGTTTCCAGATAAAGATGTGAAAATGTTGGTCAGAAACACCTTGAACACAATAAAGCAGAAAGATAACATTGTCACATTTAAATAAATATAGCTAATCAATAAAACGTCACCATAATTTATTGGAAATGGTCCTATCAGATAAAAAGTCAATTCTTCCATCCTTTTTCTGCCTCTTATCTGAATCTAGATCGGGTTAATTCAGTTTCATTTTATCACTTGTTGTTATATCCTGCTGGGATGTGTTAAACCATGCAATGTAATACGTATGTCATGATTTTTCCTATTCCCTTCACAGACTACATTCTCACTGTAGGGCTGTAAATTCTTTGGTCACATTGAATTAGCACAGAATTTTTCAGGAATGTGGGATTCAGTGGTTAAACTTAACCTAAACCTAAAACGAGAGAATCACACCAGTTATTCTGCATGTTAGTTTTACATAACTTAGCTACTTAGATCAGTTCATTTCAAAACTTTCCAGGTTCACTTTGCAATCTGCTCCAGCATTTAAAGCAGCTATAGTGGACATCTTAACAATGTATGAAAGTATAGTAATGATGAAGTTTTGTGTGTCTCTGGTAATGAATTATCAGCTGAATCAGCTCCTCTCAGCTTTACTGAGCGTTGTAGTGAGTTTCAACTCATTGTTTATCTGTTCAGCCACGACTTGACTGTTGTTGTTCACTCTCAGCGCTCTCATAGGATCACTTTAAGAGAAATAGCTGTAAAAAGCCACCGTGCACTACCTGCTCAGCAACATGTCTGTACTGTCTTCACAACTTGATTCCACTGCCCCCAAGTGGCCAAAAAAATTGTTGTTTGTTGGTTGTTTTATTTAGGTAAACTCAACTACTCTATTACAAATGTGTAGCTGCATTGTTTTGGAATTAATGACATTGCTTTTCCCCAGCGCGCTTTCTGCACGCAGGTTTCATCTTCTTTCTCTTCGTTTTCTGTATGCCTCTCTACTCTCAATGTGTTGCTTAGAAAGGTAGTAGGTAGTCCAGTTTTGGTGCCAATGATGTTGAAATTCAGAAATAAAGTGAACGTATTGCAGTCATTATAAATATCAGAATGCTTTTAGGGTCGTTAATTGTGACATTCAGCTTCACAAAATCTGATGTCATGGCTGGCACAAAGTTAATGTCAGCACTGTGAAAGGATTCGCGTAAACAAACAAGATGTTTGAGCTCTTTCTCTGTCTGCAGATACGAGCGTCTGAGGTTTGTGTCTGACCGTCTGTCCAGCTGGGAGGAGGAGAAGCAGCAGGTTCCTCTGGAGGAACTCCTGGGTTCCATGCTGGAGAACATCAGACAGGCCAACGGTGAGGCACTGCTGCCATCAAATGACTTTTAGATTGAACAAAAACATCTGGGAACAGGGAGATTCAGTGTCCTGTGATGGTGTAATGTCAGTTCAGGTGCTTTCATACATTAAAAGGGTGAAGAGTTTGGGGCAGACAATAAATAATGGAGATTTATTAGTGAAAATATTGTCTCAACTCAGAATGTTTTGTTTATGTCTTCAATAAACACATTTCCACCTTATTTACTACTTCAGAAGTTCTGCTGAAACATTAAAGATACCTGATCAAACCTTATTTTGAAATTTCAGCATGCCACAATTTTGATGTTATGTTCAGGGGCCTAAATTAAACACGAAAACAAAGGAGGTAAAGTGTCCCAGTGCTCACGTGTAATTTATCATATGTGTAGAACCTTCGCTTTGTCCTGCAGTGAGGGACGATGACGTTCGCAGCATTGAAGCTGAGCTGTTTGAGGACGACGAGCCGACTGGGGTCAATGAGTCCAAACTCCTGACAGATCACCTGGACAGGTGCTGCGTTCACAAACAAGCTCCAATCAGTTTCTGTGAACTGTGCCGACTGTCTCTCTGAATCCTTTCTCTCCGTCAGGTTTATTGAGCTCTTTGACTCGGCTCAGTATGAAGAAGCTGCTCTCCTCGCTGCCAGATCTCCCCGAGGAGTCCTGAGGAACCTTGACACCATGGAGATGTTTAAAGGTGGAAACACACAGACGTCTGTACATTTATTGAAGTACTGTGCTGAAATACACATTTGAGATTGTACTCAATTTGAGCATTTTCTTTTCATGCCACTTTACACACAATAATTGTACTTATCATTCACTACAGTTCCCTGATATAATTAGTCAGAGAAAAGAGTTTTAACTTTGAAGCCTTTTATGTTGTAAAAGAAAAAGATGAGATAGGACCATTAAAGCTGTAGGCTGCAACTTTTAAAGTCAATTTTAAAAATACCAATTTGTCATTATTGCTGCAGTTTTCACTGTGTTCTGACAGTAGTACATGAGACAGATACTCTGTGAAAAGATCAGGTTCCTCTGGCTCCTCCTAGTGCTCCTAATGACATCTG